CTATCCTGGTGCTCCTTGGACATCTAACTCTGTATAACACAGCTGCCTGCCTGCTGTCTTGGTGCTACTTGGACATCTAACTGTGTATAACACAGCTGCCTGCCTGCTATCTTGGTGCTACTTGGACATCTAACTGTGTATAAAACAGCTGCCTGCCTGCTATCTTGGTGCTACTTGGACATCTAACTGTGTATAAAACAGCTGCCTGCCTGCTATCTTGGTGCTACTTGGACATCTAACTGTGTATAACACAGCTGCCTGCCTGCTATCTTGGTGCTCCTTAGACATCTAACTCTGTATAACACAGCTGCCTGCCTGCTATCTTGGTGCTACTTGGACATCTAACTGTGTATAACACAGCTGCCTGCCTGCTGTCTTGGTGCTTTTCCCACAACTAACTGTGTATAAAACAGCTGCCTGCCTGCTATCTTGGTGCTACTTGGACATCTAACTGTGTATAACACAGCTGCCTGCCTGCTATCTTGGTGCTACTTGGACATCTAACTGTGTATAACACAGCTGCCTGCCTGCTATCCTGGTGCTCCTTGGACATCTAACTCTGTATAACACAGCTGCCTGCCTGCTGTCTTGGTGCTACTTGGACATCTAACTGTGTATAACACAGCTGCCTGCCTGCTATCTTGGTGCTACTTGGACATCTAACTGTGTATAAAACGGCTGCCTGCCTGCTGTCTTGGTGCTACTTGGACATCTAACTGTGTATAAAACAGCTGCCTGCCTGCTGTCTTGGTGCTACTTGGACATCTAACTGTGTATAACACAGCTGCCTGCCTGCTGTCTTGGTGCTCCTTAGACATCTAACTCTGTATAACACAGCTGCCTGCCTGCTATCTTGGTGCTACTTGGACATCTAACTGTGTATAACACAGCTGCCTGCCTGCTGTCTTGGTGCTTTTCCCACAACTAACTGTGTATAAAACAGCTGCCTGCCTGCTATCTTGGTGCTATGTGGACATCTAACTGTGTATAAAACAGCTGCCTGCCTGCTATCTTGGTGCTACTTGGACATCTCACTCTGTATAACACAGCTGCCTGCCTGCTATCTTGGTGCTCCTTGGACATCTAACTGTGTATAACACAGCTGCCTGCCTGCTGTCTTGGTGCTCCTTGGACATCTAACTCTGTATAACACAGCTGCCCGCCTGCTGTCTTGGTGCTACTTGGACATCTAACTGTGTATAACACAGCTGCCTGCCTGCTATCTTGGTGCTACTTGGACATCTTACTCTGTATAACACAGCTGCCTGCCTGCTATCTTGGTGCTCCTTGGACATCTAACTGTGTATAACACAGCTGCCTGCCTGCTATCTTGGTGCTACTTGGACATCTAACTGTGTATAAAACAGCTGCCTGCCTGCTATCTTGGTGCTCCTTGGACATCTAACTGTGTATAACACAGCTGCCTGCCTGCTGTCTTGGTGCTACTCTGACATCTAACTCTGTATAACACAGCTGCCTGCCTGCTATCTTGGTGCTACTTGGACATCTAACTGTGTATAACACAGCTGCCTGCCTGCTATCTTGGTGCTCCTTGGACATCTAACTGTGTATAACACAGCTGCCTGCCTGCTGTCTTGGTGCTACTTGGACATCTAACTGTGTATAAAACAGCTGCCTGCCTGCTATCTTGGTGCTCCTTGGACAACTAACTCTGTATAACACAGCTGCCTGCCTGCTATCTTGGTGCTCCTTGGACATCTAACTGTGTATAACACAGCTGCCTGCCTGCTGTCTTGGTGCTACTTGGACATCTAACTGTGTATAACACAGCTGCCTGCCTGCTATCTTGGTGCTACTTGGACATCTAACTCTGTATAACACAGCTGCCTGCCTGCTATCTTGGTGCTCCTTGGACATCTAACTGTGTATAACACAGCTGCCTGCCTGCTGTCTTGGTGCTACTTGGACATCTAACTGTGTATAACACAGCTGCCTGCCTGCTGCCTTGGTGCTACTTGGACATCTAACTGTGTATAACACAGCTGCCTGCCTGCTATCTTGGTGCTACTTGGACATCTAACTGTGTATAACACAGCTGCCTGCCTGCTATCTTGGTGCTCCTTGGACATCTAACTCTGTATAACACAGCTGCCTGCCTGCTATCTTGGTGCTATGTGGACATCTAACTCTGTATAACACAGCTGCCTGCCTGCTATCTTGGTGCTATGTGGACATCTAACTCTGTATAACACAGCTGCATGCCTGCTATCTTGGTGCTCCTTGGACATCTAACTGTGTATAACACAGCTGCCTGCCTGCTATCTTGGTGCTACTTGGACATCTAACTGTGTATAACACAGCTGGCTGCCTGCTATCTTGGTGCTACTTGGACATCCAACTGTGTATAACACAGCTGCCTGTCTGCTATTTTGGTGCTATGTGGACATCTCACTCTGTATAACACAGCTGCCTGCCTGCTATCTTGGTGCTACTTGGACATCTAACTGTGTATAACACAGCTGCCTGCCTGCTATCTTGGTGCTACTTGGACATCCAACTCTGTATAACACAGCTGCCTGCCTGCTATTTTGGTGCTCCTTGGACATCTCACTCTGTATAACACAGCTGCCTGCCTTCTATCTTGGTGCTACTTGGACATCTAACTGTGTATAACACAGCTGCCTAATTGAATTAAAGATATCTCTAATTGAATTTAAGATATCTGTAATGCATTTGTGGATATGTATAACTTATTTCAAGATATCTTGAATTGAATTTAAGATATCTTGAATTTATTTCTAATATATTTATGTACACTAGAATGGTAATTGTTTAATGATATCTTAAATACATTTAGAGATATCACAAACTAATTTGTTGATAACATCGTAACATTGTAAGATATCAGTAATTGTAATATGGATATCAGAAATGCCTTTAAGATATCTTTAATTATTTTTTGATATCTACAATTATCTGCATTTAAGATATCTTCAATTCCATTCAAGATATCTTCAATTCAATTCAAGATATCTTTAAAACAATTGAAGATATCTGTAATTCCGTAATAAATGTGAAAACGGCTTGCCATACTCCCTATCTGTTGTCTGGGAGAGTGGATCTTCATACCTTAGGCTAGCATTTATCTAAAAACTTCAAATCTATTAAACTATGTAGACATAACTCTTGTCTTATTGAATAGTATGTCTAGGAGATGCGCTCCCGTTACCTTAGGCTAGCATCTATCTAAAAAGCTATAACTGAAACTACTGATATTTTATAGGTACATTTTACCTGATGATAAGTATTACTTGCTAAACTATAATTATATGAAATGATGTATAAATATTACACCATGATAACTCTTAAAAGCACTTGATGTGGATCTAATTATTATAGGAAAACTTACCGGTGGTATAAATGTTATATCATGATAACTGCATCATCACATGTGTGGGGGGCTTAGTGCTGTTCCAACAATATTCTATCAGGAAATCACACATACAATTTTCTCTCCCACTTGCTGAGCAAAGATTCACTAAAACAATTTTTTTGGGTGCAGTTTACACAAAAAAGAATTTTTCAACCAAACCAATGAATCCTACTTCATATTTTACACAAGAAAATACTTTGTAGTATAAGATTTTTCCTGTGTTTTTGTTGTTGTCAAAAAGTGATTTTTAGTTAAATATTTTCTCCTTCCTTTGTGTTTTTTGGATGACAAATTGTAAAACAAGTAATTAAGTTGGTTTGGCCTAATGTTCATAACTGTGGAGTGAGAATCAGCACTGTGTGTGGCGGATCATTATGATAATTATGTTAATGGAAATTAACAAGCCTTGAAAATAAGATTGAATACGCTCATGTGTTATTCATAAAATTCAGAATTATTCTTTGTAATAGTTGATGGCATTGTGCATTTGGGAACTATCCAATGTTATACAAAAGTTTTGTATGAACTGCCATGATAGCTGTATTGAAAATCCCTTTTCGGTCAAGTATCTTTAACGACTGAACCATTTTGTAAACATCTGTGATACAATGATATGAGACAATTGACAAGTCCAGGTGAGCTGCATGTCGAACATCATGTCAGTATAGTCTTTTGAGGCAGTGAACATTTATTAAAAATCCAATGGACCTGTAATGCTAAAGTGTACGCATGTTTTGTTTTTTATCTATTAATTTATCAATAGCATGATTTGCCATCTTTGAAGTGTCAATCAAATGTTTGATGGCCATATTGACAAATTGATCTCCTCGGCTATTCAGGATATTATACACAGTATTGACAGATGTGGATACAATACTTAAACACCAACCATGATAAATAGCGGAATTATGATTGTGCGACATTGACATTTTCCTGAAATGTTGCTGGCCTTTGTGGCTCAGTCAGGGAGTGTCATTAAGTCTCTCTGCAGCATTTCAATTTATAGTGCAAGTGTATGGTGACTTAGAAGGTACAACCCTTATTCATTAACAGTGTGTCAATACAAAATGAATTTTGTGGAATACGTGCGTTCACATTCGCTGACATATGAGAAAACCATATTATATTAATATTTAATGTCAATAATCACTTCCTTTTACAGAAGCTGTTTTATGTGTTTTAAGATGTTTGAAACTTTAGCATTAGAACAAAAATACAAATTTGTATTTTAGTTTTGAATAAAAGATTGAAAATTGTAATTTTTTATTCTTTGAGGTTAATATGGAATTTAAGATGTTTGAATTTTTAGCACTAAAACAAACATACAAATTTGTTATAATAGATATAATCTTTCCAGATAAAGTGTGAAAATATAGTTTTTATTTTTAAATATTTTTTTATGATTATGAGAACAAGCTGTTAGTGTTTAATTCTTTCCTAATGGAATTCATTTTTGACCTACATAAAATATCAATATCTCAGATACACGATTTTCATGTATGCTTGCATACGGTCATGAAACATAAAACTATCCAATATGGCCTTGACAATTTGAATAGAAATGATATTTGGTGTGTGCCATGTGTTACCAGCTCTATGAGATACCTATATTCTTACACTGCAAGCATAATGCTTACAGCACATCATGCAGGTTGATATCTGCCGTATTACACAGACAAGTGTTTGTTCAAGACAAGGGAGTGAAACAGGTTGGAATGTAAGGGATTGTTAAACAAGAGGTACTCAATAATGAGTAACAGAGCTAGTGGAGGGCGATACCAGGAAGACAGATCACGAGACCATGGTTCAAGGAATAGAGACCATAGCCCAAGGTTTCGTGAACACAGATCAAAGTCTCGGGACAAAGACTCACAACCTCGAGACCAGGATGTACATTCTCGAAAGGGTAGTAGATCCCGAGATCACTCATATGAGACTATTGACAGGTTACCGTCAGCCTACAGTAGCAGTGATGATTACACATCATCTCGTGCAAAAGATCGGATACCAACTTCGTACAATGATAAGTCCCGGCGGACACATCGGATATTACCACAGACATACAGTAGCAGTGACGATTACACCTCGTCTCAAACATCAGATCAGATTCCAAGCATGAACCATTTAAAATTGCGAAGACCTGAGATTATAGCTCTGCAGTCTTATACAAGTAGTAGTGATGATTATACATCCGGTGAGAGGTTACGGAGATCAGAACACAGAGGATCCAGACCTCGAGATCGTACGCCACAGATGTACGACCGTGTGCCTCTGCGTTACAATGATTCCACTCCAGAACGGTGGAAAGGAGAGGATGCAGTACAACATCGTAGATCTGGCTCCAGAGATCGCGTTGGAAGAAACAGAGATGGAAATCTCAGAGATCATGCTTACTTAAGTCGAAGTCGCGATGATGTGATCAGGGTTTCCATGCCATATATACACGACCGTGAAACTCAAAGCCGAGATGATTTGCATCGAGTTGGGAACAGCACGATCAAATCTAAAGACAGGTCAAGTCACAGCCGAGGGGAATTCCATAAAAAATCAGATAGTGCATCACATTCTCAAGAACTGCCAAACAGGAGTCGAGATAGTGTGGATCGAACAAGGGCTAATCAAGCACATCCTCAAGAACGGTCAAATAAAACGAGGAAGGAGGTAGATCGAATAAAGGATAACCCCACAAAGTCTCAAGTCAAGTCAAGTAAAACTCAAAATGATGTGGGTCCAAGTAAGGATAGCAAAGCCAGCTCTAAAAGTCGTTTAGGTCGAAAAAAAGATCCTAAACGTGTTAAGCCAAAAATATCTCGGTCACAAGAGATTCTGCCAGAGCCTCGGGATCATAGTGCTCCTCGTTGGGATTATTGTAAGTGTTTGTCTTTTATTGATTTTGTCTTTCAAAACATTTATATTTTTAATAGTAACTCATTTAACATTAACGTTATCCTCTGTTGTGTTTCAGATTTACAATCCGACAAATATGGGTCTCATACTACCTTGTCCACAGTCAGGTAAGATTTGTCTGCTTGTTCATGTAATGTATTTGCCCCAGGCGATTAGAAAATTGACAAATCGTGGTGCGTATTAAAACCATACACAATAAGTTAAATTTATTTTCAGAGATTGAGTGGGAATGAACAATATCAGTTCAAACTAAGACTTTTTAGATAATAGTTTCTAGACAGAGAGTTATATGACACTTCTACGCTGATGTTTCTGTAAACATCTGCAATATGCACAAGAAATATGGACTGTCATGTAAAGTTTCAGCCTTATACTGGGGCACTTACAAAGAGTACTTACAGACTGGAATAGAAGTAGGTCTGTGGGTGCTTATTGGAGCAGGGCACTTAATACGGCAAATACGTATTTTGTAAGGTGATCAGTAGTCTGGCTGGTTAACCCTTTGATCTATTAGAGTTGTAGTGCTTTGTTTGGATCTGTATTGTTGAAGCTGATACGTCATGACAGAACAGAAACACAGTTTAAAGCCATGTTAAACCCAACTTGCCAACATGGCCTACAGATTGAAAGTTTGCAGTAAAAGAAATTCTCTCTGATTCCTATCTGACTAAAATGTCTGCTGAAAACAGAGGAACAGCTGCTTGCATTTAGCTAAACAATTATCGTATTCGACGTAATAAGCGCCCAGGGCGCTCTTAAAATTAGAAATTGGGGGCTGTTATTAGAATATAGTTTCAGTGAAAGAGTCGAAAGATCGTAAATTTTATGGTTTCTGCTGACAGCCTGAAATGATACAAAAGAAAAGTCTGTGCGTATTATACATGACAGATATATTTTTCCAGAATTTAATTGCCCGTAATTAAGGGTGCATATAACACACGGGTGCGTATTATACACGAATAAATGAACACGAATTGTGTACATTGATCAGTCGGAAGGGTGCTAATTGGGATTGTTCACTAGCCAATATATTGGCAAATATTGCCGTGGTAGCTTATTAGAGCGGGGCGCTTATTACGTCGAATACGGTACATGTCATGTGTCTGATGAGACATGACAACTATGTTTCATTGTGAAGCCCATGTATGCATGCCCCTGATTGATTATTACATGAAGAATATCAATGACAGGTAAAGGCATGTTATTGAGTGACAACGGAGATGGTGTGAATGATGTTTTTCCAGGAAATGTTCACTTTATTGACCTAATGAATGAGTGAGTATTGTTTTACGCTGCTTTTAGCAATGTTCCAGCACTGTAATGACGAGGGACACACTAACACGCACACACTAACACTAGCACACATGAACACTAGCGCACACGAACACACCAGCACAATAACATCAACACTAAGATTATAAAAGAATGTCTTGTTTTCTCTTTAAGTCTTGTTATGTTCATTCAAACAATAGTTTGAAAGGAGACAAACTGAGCCCTGCATTTCTGCTGAAAAAGGCTTCGGGATTAGTCACTGCCACACGTGTGCAAGGACCGCAGTTAGAACAGTAATGAGAACCACTTTGTTATTAATGTGTCACCTGCAGGCTTATGGAGTGCCACATATCAGCATGTAGGGAGAGAAAATTGTAGCTGTGTGGTTCAGAAGTTTGATGTTTTTGTCTGCTAGTGTGTGTTTTGGTAAACAATTCCAAATTGTACACACATTATTAAATGTGATCTTTTCAATTATCAAACATGTTCTTCAAAAACGTGTGCTGTACCATTAGATTGCAAATAGTCAACTTAGAGGACTGGCACACTGAAACAAACTCAAAGGACTGTGTTATCTGGCAGTAGAGATTGAAGCGTTTGTAAAATGTTGAGTGCTGTTGAAGCAAGATTTTAGCAGTATTTGGCAGTGAGTGATCTGCCATGAGTAAACTTGAGCATGACAGACTTATCATTTGAGAAGTTTTGTGATGGGACCGTTTCTAGAAAAAATGACAGAACCTCGCGACACAAGGGCGATTCGAACCCTTTTACAACTTGTCTTGCATCTTGTCTACTTGGTTAGTGTGAATGGATACATATCTGAAAACACCAAATTCTTGCCAGCTTACAACACTATTCCGGATTCAAGAACAGAGACTGCCTGTAACATTTGACAGTGACTTAAATCTGGCTCATCTAGAGGACTGCTGCCACTTACACGACCCCTTGTATTGCCTTTGTAACTGTAAACCTAAAACTGTGTTGTAGTATGACTTGTTAATTATTCATTGATCTTGTGTGGTCATTTACTGATGTCACAACTTAGTTCTGTAGGAACCAGTTTGTTTCAGTATAACTTGTTAATTATCCATTGATTTGTTTCAGTATAACTTGTTAATTATTCATTGATCTTGTGTGGTCATTTACTGATGTCACAACTTAGTTCTGTAGGAACCAGTTTGTGTCAGTATAACTTGTTAATTATCCATTGATTTGTTTCAGTATAACTTGTCAATTATTCATTGGTCTTGTGTGGTCATTTACTGATTTCACAACTTAGTTCTGTAGGAACCAGTTTGTTTCAGTATAACTTGTTAATTATCCATTGATTTGTTTCAGTATAACTTGTCAATTATTCATTGGTCTTGTGTGGTCATTTACTGATTTCACAACTAAGTTAGGAACCAGTTTGTTTCAGCATAACTTGTTAATTATTCATAAATTGTTTCATTATATATATATATATATATATATATATATATACTTTTAATCCTCCATAGGAGAGTTACAAGGTATAATATTAAAGATAATTACATGACAATAATTACATTGTCAGAGAATACCACCATATACCACTGTGGTAACGGATTTTCTTAGTAAATTCCGTCCATATATTGAAAACGGTAGAGTCCTCGAATTACACTTCGTGAGTAAGAGCGACTGGTATCTGGATCAGTATCCAAAGGTGGCTTACAGGACAGCAAACAAGCTACAAGATCATAGTCTGATTTGCTGTGGAGTTCAACGCTGATGTCAACGGACCTTTACACACAATGTCACACCATAAGTTCTCTCTTATTGTTTCCTTACTCACACAGTGGCACAGTACGTGACTCATTAAGTCATGGTAGTTAATACCACAATGTGTACAGGTACCATGTAATTTCCCCGGTCTCCACATCGCACACATGTGGACAACAAAACAGGCAGCTGCCTTTAGCTCAGGATAGTCTCTAGCTATCCTCCACGCCACGTGTTGGGTCACATCCGGATGAATACTCTTAAAGTGCACAGTGTCAGGGTCTGATGAAAGTCTTTCCCGCCATGCTCGTACTTCAAAAGTATTCACGGCTTCTTTGACTGTTCTTTTCCATATATTCCGTTCCAGGAATGTACCGGAACTAAGAAATGCCTCCAGATGACAGTACAATGAATACTGGTGGAGGATGCGACATATGTCTGGGACAAAGCCCATACTTGTGGATGAACACTTATGTATATACATGGAGATACGAGTCATAAAAACCTTCTTAGAAAGCAGATGATTAGAACAATTACAGAGGTGGCCAAGAAAGAATAGCTTCCTGATGTTGATAAATGATTCTATGGGGAGCCAGCCGAGAAGAGCATTAACTATGTCAGACCTAGTATGACGTGGAAGTCCCTGTGCCATTTTGGACCTCTGTGCTCTTTCTAAAGCCAGAATTTCTGCCTTAGAAATCATCGACCAGAGTTCACACCCAAACATAGCCTTTGGAATACAAACTGCCTTAATAAGTTTTAAACTTGTCATGGGGTTTAGAGCGCGTTCATGCAGTCCCGATTTGACGAGTGCCATGGCTGATGCTTTCATCTTCGAGCAGCTCTCCAGAGTTCTCTCCCATGAGTTAAATTCAGAGTTCAATATAATACCAACGGGCTTAAGCTCATTTGTCACTGGGATATCGCGTCCATAGAGTACAACACTAGAAGCAGCTGCTTTTCTGTCACTATATCTGACAATCTGGCTCTTGGAGGGAGAGAAAGTAAACCGCCAGTCTGAACTATATCTTTCACAGATGGTCACCATCTTCTGCAGATTTGCTGATACTGGACTAACAATTGCTATATCGTCCGCTTGAGTGGGTGCCATTACATGGATATCCAAGATCACTACACCAAGTTTGCTGGTGGACAGTTTCTGTAACAGTTCATCTATGTATAGCAGGTAGAGTTTTGCCGACAGGACGCTTCCTTGCCGAACACCTCTTGATAACGGAAACCAGTATGATCTTGTGTTATTAACAAGGACGCTGCTCTCGAGGAACTTGTAGCTATTGTCAAATATCCTCCACAGTGCATCTGGGATTCCAAGATGATACAGCTTGTATAAACGCTTTTGAACTGTCTAGGAAGGCTACGTTGATGACGTCCGATCGCTCTTTATAATGAAGTATTGATTCTTGTACAATAAAGTAGGTGTCACTGGAGGAAACGCCTTTCTGGAAACCACATTGTTGTATACATGGAAAGGATTTACTGTTGGTGAGCTGTGGGATTCTTCTGCTTACAATGACTTCAAATACCTTGTATATAACGGCAATAGGGTTACACCTTGATAGGAATCCGGTAACACGCGAGACTTGTTGCCTCCCTTGAATATCGGAATGATAGTGCCCCTTTTCCATTGGGCAGGAATGTATCCAGATGTAATAACGAGGTTAAAGAGTTCTGACAAACACTTTGTAAGGTATTTTCCACCATATCGAAGATGTTCATAAAATATGTTGTCCATCCCCGCAGCCTTGTTGCGTTCTGGGTTTTGCAAATTGATGTTATTTCCCCTGGACTTGTTAGAAGATCAACTGATGACTGATCAGTGTTCTGTATGTCTAAACGTTTCCTTGCCGCTCCAAATGTTTACAGACTTTTGTCTAGTCGAGGTTGTGATGCAATACAATTCTCAATAGTCAGGTTGTGATGCAATACAATTCTCAACTGTAAGGTTGTGATGCAATACAATTCTCAATAGTCAGGTTGTGATGCAATACAATTCTCAATAGTCAGGTTGTGATGCAATACAATTCTCAATAGTCAGGTTGTGATGCAATACAATTCTCAATAGTCAGGTTGTGAT